AGCCACTGGTATTCTCCCCAAAATAAATAAATAAATAAGTATCACTGATAAGATTGTGTATAAACCACACAAAAGGATGTATATTTGAAGGATCTGGTTAAAAACTTGCCATATTCACTTTATACAATGCACTAACTAATGACAAGATGTCATCAAACATAACATTACAGAGTCTCCAGATTTCTAACAGCCATGGCAAAAAATGAAAAATGTAAGATCAAAAATGTTCTTTCTGGCGTTGGGGCTGTGGCTCAGCGGTAGAGCACTCATCTAGTATGAGCAAGGCCCTGAATTTGATCCTCAGCACCACATAAAAATAAATAAATAAAATACGGGGCTGGGGTTGTGGCTCAGAGGTAGAGCACTTGCCTAGCATGCGTGAGGCCCTGGGTTTGATGCTCAGTACCACATAAAAAAATAAAATATATTGTGTCCAACTATAACTAAAACATAAATATTTAAAAATAAATAAATAGGGGCTGGGGTTGTGGCTCAGTGGCAGAGCGCTTGCCTAGCATGTGTGAGGCACTGGGTTTGATTCTCAGCACCACATATAAATAAAGGTCCATCAACAGCTAATAAAATATAAAATAAAGGTATTGTGTCTAACTACAACTATGTTCTTTCGGATTCTGTATATAACTCTTGGTTAACTGAGTTCTACCCTGTCCTGCTTATTTTTTCTCTATAACCCTTAGTGATTATGTATTTGGCTTCTTTGTTTATTGCCTGTTTCCCCAACTTGGGAATAAAATGTAAATTCCATTAATGAACGGATTTCTTTATGGCTGGACATTAAATGGTTGAAAAGAATCTGACACACAATAACTGCTTAATAAGTTTGTCGAATGAAAAGGAACAATACTATCACTATATTCACAGAGAGACAATAGTCAGAGATTCCACTATAGAAGGACCACATGAAAGGAGATGCATGGGTCAAGTGTGGTGGTGCACACCTGTAATCCCAGAGTCTCGGGAGGCTGAGGCAGGAGGATCTCAAATTCAAAGCCAGATTCAGCAATTTAGCGAGGCCCTCAGCAACTCAGTGAGACCCTGTCTCTAATTAAAAAAAAAAAAAAGGGCTAGGGATGCTGCTCAGTGGTTAAACACACATGGGTTCAATCTCAGTACCCAAAAAAAAAAAAAAGTATGATTTATATAGAAAGGCCAGCATATCTGTATATGTATTTATAGCTGCATCAATATTTATATTCCTGGAAGAGCAATGCTGAGTTGATCTCTTTCAATTTTGAATCATTATTAGCAATTTCTACTAATAAAGCTAATATATTCTGAAGCACTACCATATTTTGCTTCACTTTCTAGGCTTTTTCTTTTATACTGCTGTATAATTTGAATGTTCATGTCATTTTAAATTAGTATTGTAGATGACTAGAATTTTTTTTTTTTTTGAGAATTTTAGTATTTATTTTTTAGTTTTCGGTGGACACAACATCTCTGTTTGTATGTGGTGCTGAGGATCAAACCCGGGCCACAAGCATGCCAGGCGAGCGTGCTACTGCTTGAGCCACATCCCCAGCCCCAATCATAACTTCTTGTTAGAAAAATATCTCTTAGGCATAGACCGAGCCTTACTTTAAGATTTCTGTTTTTTTGAATTCTGAAAGCAAAAGAAAATATTGATTACTATAGTCTCCTGCCCTCTCCTGACAAAAATAATTTTTTTCTTCCCTTCCTTATGTATATTTTAATTTTTTTGCTATAGTGATGATAAATATATTCTCTTTACCAACAGTCAAAAAACAAGATTGTTGCTGGGCACAGTGGCACATGCCTGTAATCCCAGCTGCTAGGGAGGCTAAGGCAGGAGGATCCTGAGTTCAAAGCCAGCCTCAGCAAATGCAAGGCACTAAGCAACTCAATGAGACCCTGTCTCTAAATAAAATACAAAATAGGGTTGGGGATGTGGCTCAGTGGTCGAGTGCCTCTGAGTTCAATCCCCGGTACCAAAAAATAACACAATCGTGCATAACAAGATTTCTATTTCTACATGAATATTAGACTTTCAAGAAATCTGTGTTTGGTTGAGGTGTTTGCTAACTTTTCTTCTCCATTGATAGACTACGCAGGAGACATTGCTCTCCGTAATTGCAAAATACATTGAGAGAAAATTAATTTGCTAGCAAACAGCTACAGTTAATTAGTTACTGTCATTTTAGCTCATACCTACTATCCAGCATTCTTCGTCACTCCACTCACTCCAAAGTCCATCTTCTGAGCAATAAATATTCACTTTGCTTCTTATTAAAAAGCAGAGTTGTTGGCTTTCATTTGATGTTCTCGGGATGCGGATTTCATTTTCAATTGTGGTGGTCTAAAAGCCAAGGGGAAAAAAATGAGATGTCATTATTTGATCTAATTTTAATTAAAGAAATTCCATCTGTCATTTTCAATGTGGGTTTGGCTTTTTTAAAGAAAATATATGCATCAAAAGAATAGAAAGGTATAATCCTAGAAGTGATTATCTCTCTGTATGGTGGGGGTTTTTTCAATCTTTTTTTTTTCTTCCCTTCCTTATCTATATTTTAATTTTTTGCTAAAGTGATGATAAAGACAGCATGTGTGAGAGGGCAAAATTCCTTGGTGTTTGTAATGCCCATTATAATAGACTAGTGTGAAATCTCCCTGTTCCTATAAACTGGAAGATGCTACATCCACTGAGTTTCCAAAAGACAGAACCATCATGTAAATGTGGTTTCTATGGAAACTATAGAGTTCATATACATAAAGCTGGGTTTTTTTCCTCTTGTTCTTACTCCATAAGACATGTGTAACAGTACTTGGATTGACATGAAACTATCATTGCAGATACAAGAATATCTCAAATTGGGTGATTTCATAGGGAAAAAAAACCCCACTAAAGTAATTACTTCAATTTTGCATTTCTAAGAGCTGAAAGCTTTTCCCATCCAAAATAACAGTTTTTCATTTGTTGTAACTTATCATAATGTAGTGTAGATTAAGTCAACTGGGAATCAGATCTTGATTACAGTTCTAGCTGTGTAATTTGATTGTGAAGTCAATTCACCTCTCTGGGACCTGTAAGTCAATTCAACAACTAGTTTTCTCCTCTGTATACGAAATGAATTAATTAGAATTAGTGGCTTACTTTTTCCCACCACTCTCTAAATTGGAAACCATGAATAAAATTAGCATATAACAATGTGGGGTTAAACAACAAATACCACATTGTTGATGCTGTTTGGTAGTTTGTCTTTGAACTCTTCCCTACTTCCCCTGTGCTAAGCCCCTCTTCCCTGGTTAAACCAGTCCCTTGGAGTAGTGCCATATTCTAATTTTGACCTCATGGTTTTTCCTCAAGAATTGTTTTTGTGTTGGGCATGATGACACACTCTGGGGCAGGAGGATATGAGTTCAAAGCCAGCCTCAGCAACTTGGCAAGACATTATCTCTAAACAAAATATTAAAAAGGCTGGGGATGTGGCTCATTGGTTAAGCCCTCCAAGTTCAATCCCTAGTCCCCCCAAAAATAATTGTTTTTTTTTGGTCTGTGTTGAGTTTTTTTGTTTGTTTATTTTTACCTGGGGCCTCTTCACAATCCATTTTAGTCCCTTGGTAACTTTCATTTATTGATAAAAATTGGAAACAAGTGACTAGATTATCTCCAAAATCCAATATTGTTTTAAAATCAGTATGACTGATTATGCTTTCAGACTGGAAACATCTTTCTTTTGTCCACTAGATTTGAGTTTCTGGAAATTAAACTAAGATACATGTCATGTTTCATTCTTTTTGTGACTAGCAAATGATTTGTGTTCTCAAGTGTCCTAATTTATGTAAAAAATGCTATGTTTTGACTTTCCTAAATAAATTCAATGTTCTTACCATCCAGGAAGTTTCATCTCCTGTGAGCACAATTTCATAAATGAAACACTTAGCTGGAATGGGTCCTTTAGGTGTGCTCCATTTCAGATTAATTTCAAATATATTCTTCACAGTAAGATTAAGATAGTCTGGTGGCAAAGGTTTAACTGAAAAGCAGAAGGAAACCATTTTAACATGGAGGTTGTTAAAATTAGAACCTTATCCAAAGGTGGGGACATCCAGGGTTAAAGGAGGTGGCTCAAGATTATGTATTGCCTATGATATGAATTAAAATCATAATCACTTGTCAATCAAAATGAATTTATTGAGAAACTTGGCCATTTTGGAACTCATTTTTTAAATATATCTTATGCTGATAAATATTTAAACCCAAGAGAAAAGTTAGAAGATCCAAACCATTCTGATAATTTTCCCAGTTTGTAGCTTAAAAAACAATAAGCACAACCATTACTATCACAACTCGTACTAAATGCTAACCCCTTATGTTGTGCTTATGACAATCAGACAGTGTAACAGGGATGCTGCAACATGATCTCATTCATGTCTCACATTAAATCTATGAGGTAGTCACCTATTATTTTCATTTTACTAATATGGGAATTGAAACACATGTTACGAAACTTGCCCAAAGTTGCACAACTAGAAAGTGGTTGATTCAACATTCAAACCTACTGACCCTAGAACCTGTCACTCTTTTCACTGTTAGAACTGAGAACAGACTCAGAAAATAGCCAACCATTTGCATATCATGGCCTGGGAATAAGAGATTCCATAATTACTCTGTCACTCACACTGAACAAAGTACTATATGCAAATTCTTTGATGCTGGGAAATAAATTATGATTTCTAAATGAAAATGATGCTGTATACTTCATTCCATTTCCTGTTTTCCATATTTCCTCATACACTAGACTGCCTTGATTTTTCTGGCTTTGCACTTCCATGAGTCTCTTCATCTCTCTTTCTCTCATTCCCTGTCTGCCTCTATCTCTCTCTCCCTCAAGTGGTTGGGGAAAAAAAAAAAAACAAAGAAGAAGAATTTGAAGTTGTTTGTTTATATCACCTATATTTTGAAGTTGGAAAATGAAATAGCTGGATCTGATAGGCTTGGATTCTGATGATCCATTAACACAGACAAAGAAATCTTTATAGTCTGATGACTCCAAAGAGGGAAAAGTGCATCCAACATTTACTCCATTAGACTTGATATAATCAACACACTGTGATGTATGTTCCAAGCCCTCATACCTGTAAAAAGAAATATTGCAAGAATTGTGTTTAACAGTACCTGCTAGTGTCATGGTGCTTCATTTTCAATTATCTTAAAAAACCATGTGAATAAAAAAAATGTAATAACAAAATATTTAACACCTAGTATATGCTGCATGCTAAAGTACTAAGGATTCAATAGTAGGGAAAGCAGACATAGACTATAATTTCATGGAGCTTACAATCTGATAGTAGTCTGCACACAATCTCAAAGATGAAACGAGGATTCTTATTCATGTAATTACATCATGTTGACTCACCAACAGGATTTGAGAATCAAAGAATAAGATTCCCATTAAGAAATCCTAGGGTTTATATAAATAATCATGCATGATGCTGCCTTTTTAATATTTTACTGGGAAAATTATTGTGAAAGAAAGCACATCAAAAAGTAGACTTTCAAAATATTGTTTTTTTAAGTAAAATGAATGAAAATCCTCTGAGTATACAAAACACATTAAGATATAAATCTCAGAAAGTCAACTGTGGGTGGGGAGAAGAAAAGGAGAAGTTTTTTGGCAAGTACATGTCTAATTTTCCCATTCTCCTAAACAAGAAATGTCATTTTAAGTTAACCTCATTCCGGTAATACTGTTAATGGGAATTAGGAGTGGGCGGTTCCATACTGATTTCTAAAGCAATAAATGCCTGGTTTATCTTCCTAAAAAAAATAGCTTGCAATGCAAAATGTAACATTTGCTTTAAAAGCAGTCAAACTCTGTTTTGAAATTAGGCCAAGACAGAAGCTGATAAGACGATAGTGAAAAGAGCTTGACTCTAAATTAATTTTATGCCAAATATTGACTTCAGGCAGAGTTTGCAAAATTGTAGTCTTATGGTTAGTTCACCTGATTAGAGTTTGGAAGACTTGACTTTTTACAGACTTACTTCGTGCCAGTGGAGAAGCCCAGGCCACCCACTTTTCCCCACTCTCTAAAATGTTAGTATTTATTCCCCCCATTCCACTAAGTGAGGTTAAATTTGCATTGAACATGATCCATTGCATTCAAGAGAGTAGTTCTTTTGTCTTATTCATACTTTTATCTTGGAACTTAGTAGATGCTTAATATTTGTTGAATTAAGAACAAATAATCTAGACCTTCAAAAGTTACTCATCCACTTCTAGGTGAGGAAACTGAGGCCCCCAAAGGGGAAATTATGCACCCAAGGCCAACAAGTTAAATGATGTCAGAGCAGGGATTAGAATCTAGTTCTCAGGAGTATTAATAATTTATACCTAGTCATGCATACAATTTTCTAAAGAAAGATGTCATGATAATTTGAACCTAAAGCTCACAAACTGCAGCACTGTGTCCTCTCCTAATTTTTATTTTATTTAGTAAATGCATAAGTTCTGGTACTTACCTACCAATTTACCAATGCTATCATTTGTTTCATTCATTTATTTAATACGTAGTGCTATTAGCACTCCAGAAATGGTCAAAAGAAATAAAAGAAACAATTTATGCCCGCCAACTCCAAAAAGTTGAAGAGACAAAGCACACATGTACAATTTTAAATACCATCTAAACAATAAATAATTGAGAGCTATAAAAAGTAATAGTTCAGAGAAAAAAAAATCTGAGCAGAAGTTGACATGATCAGTAAAAGGTCCATGAAATTGGAGAGTAGACAGGTTTTGAAGGATGAATAGGAGTTGGTAAAAGAGAGAGCCAGAGGGCATCCCAGATGGCAACACATATATAGGCATAAAAGGGCATAAACACAGGTGAGAAAACAGTGTAGAGATGGATCTAAATGGAGTGGTACATTCGCATTGGTGATAATAGAAAGTACTATTGGAAAGGCAGTGACACAAGGAAGCAGAGACTTGAATGGCAGGCTAGAATTCACCGTGGGGGCAATCTGTAGCTCCCAGAGGTTTTCGAACACAGGGGTGGCATATAAAAATGGCCATGTAAGAAGATAAAGCTGGCTACAGTGTGCAGAATGAACAGCAAGGAGTCAGACTGGAAGGGGAGGGATTGGAAGCAGAGCCATCATCATTTGGGAGGCTATGACAACCATCCAGATGTGAAATTAGGGGAGACTAAAGTGAGCTTCTCACGATAGAGATGGGGAATGAAAAGTAGATGTGCAACTTTGCAAAGGAATATCAGTACCTGGGATCGTGCTACTATGAAAGAAGCAAGGAAAGAAGGAAACAGAAGAGTTAAGATGGCTTTAAGTTTAAAAGCCTCAGTGACAGTTAACAAAGGTAAGGAGCCAGAAAATGGATACTGTTTAATAACTAATTTTTAAAGGGGTAAGAATACAGGGAGTGGTGGCGTATGCCTATAAACCCAGTGTCTTAGAAGGCTGAGACAGGAGGATCATGAGTTCAAAGCCAGCAACTTAGTGAGGCACTAAGAACCTCAGTAAGACCCTGTCTCTAAATATAAAAAAGGGCTGGGAATGTAGCTCAATGGTTAAGTTCAATCCCTGGTACCCCCCTCCCAAAAAAAGAGTAAAATAAAAAGGCAAGAATACAAAATACACCCAAATGTTTTAGATTATAGCTCTATCTATCTAAAGGATACAAAATTTAATCAAGTATAAAAACAACATTCTATGATCTCACTCACAGAATGCTTTATAGAATCTGCAGCCAAAACCCACTTACTCCCATTGAAAACCCCAAGTAATTTTTTAGCGGGGAGGTACTGAGGATTGAACTCAGGGGCACTGGACCACTGAGCCACATCCCCAGCCCTATTATTTTGTATTTTATTTAGAGACAGGGTCTCACTGTGTTGCTCAGCACCTCACTTTTGCTGAGGTTGGCTTTGAACTCGCGATCCTCCTGCCTCATCCTCTTGAGCCACAGGGATTACAGGTATGTGCCACCACGCCAGGCAAAAATTCCAAGTAATTATAATCAACACCATCAGAAATACAAATCTGATAAATACAGTGAACTTAATTTAGTGGAAATATAGTAAAACATATTGTGGACTGATTTGGTAGATATTTTCTTAACATGGAATTCCAACTATAAAAATACTTACCAATAAAACAAGGTGTAATTGGTATCCAAATGTGCACCTACGCCAGGTTTCCAAGAACAGATTAAATATTGCCAGTTGTAATATACACAAACCATGTCCTGAATTTTAGTTTCCAGACTTCCTAAGAAATGAATGAACTATGAATACTTCAAAGACATGATAATGAATCATTTGCAAATTCAAGTGAAATTTTATTTTACTTCCTTTGGCCTCACTACTTCATTTAGCAATCAACATAATGGGAATATTTTGAGAGGAAGTTATTGGAACTCACTGACACTAACAGATGCCAAAATATTAAATTGCTAATTCTATGATGCTGTGAGGAGTTGAGCAAATACACATTTACTAACACGACCCCTATACTGGCGATTGTATTAATGTATTAAGATTTAGGGTTTTTTTTGGGGGGGGGGTACCAGGGATTGAACTCAGGGGCATTCAACCACTGAGCCTCATCCCCAGCCCTATTTTGTATTTTATTTAGAGACAGGGTCTCATTGAGTTGCTTAGCATCTCGCTTTTGCTGAGGTTGACTTTGAACTCGCAATCCTCCTGCTTCAGCCTCCTGAGCTGCTGGGATTACAGGCATGTGCCACCAACACCCAGCAACATATAGGTTTTTGTCAAACATCTTTACTGAATTAAATAATTCAAAAAGGCATGTCACTCGCTACTAAGAAGGATTCTATTTTGTGCCACACTGTCACTGGATCTATCGTATATACGTTCTGGTGCCCAAGATTTAAGGAAGTTATTCCCTACATAGATTGTTTTGCTACATTAAATGTAAAAAGGGAGCCTTGTTTTAACCTTGTTCTGATGTCCAGTAAGTAGCTTCTGACCATGAACTTTGAATTTCTGATCCATTTGTGCATTGCCTTGACAAAAGTGTGCGTATCTTTGCTTCAATCCCTTGGTTAAGATCAAACCCATCTTTATAATACAGGTTCTTAGTAATGATGGTCTGTTTGATAAAAAGACAAGACAAAGTCAAACTTAGAAACAGCCATGGTATAGTGAACCACACTAATAAAACTGAGAGGTTATTGATACCCTGGAAAGTTCCCAACATCTAAGATACTCCTGGTGATTATCTGCTCTGTTGCTCCAGAAATATTTGCAGCAGGAATCACCTCTGTATATCATATTGTTTGATAAGATTATTTGAATCTTAGCATCTAATTCAAAACAAAAACAAAAACTTCTGGAAGAGAAAAAAGGTTCTATGTCTGTAACCAGCTCGGAACCAATTTGAGGATTTTCACATACCATATGTACATTACATGGCAAATGATTTGACCCTTGACCCTTCCAATATAATATGAAGCCTTCAGGAATCACATAAAGTAAAATCCTGGAGGTAGCTGAAGAAAGATGGACAAAATTGTAAGCTCCTGGAGGATGAGAATCATATATTATTTAATTCTTATATTCCTGATATCTTACAGAGTGGCTAGTACAAAAAATTGCTAAATAAGTGTTTATTTGAATTGTCCCTTGAAACTACCTAGCTGAATTATGGAAGTAACAGGATGCTTTCTACCACAGGAATTTTCAAATGAATGTGATTGCCAAGGAAGTAAATAGTTCATAATTCAATCAACTTTCATTAAGAACTTACTATAATACATGCAAAGAACCAAGTTGTGTTTGGTGGGGCACAACTTGGAGTCAAGTTGCTTGACTCCTACAGAGAAAAAAACCCACAATACAGTAGCATATATAAAACCCATGTCTAAATCTATAAGTACTATGGATAAATATGGTCTGAGTGTATCCCCCAGGGGTTCATGTGTTTGAAGCTTGGTCCTCAGTGTGACAATGTTGGGAGGAGGTGGAACCTTTAAAAGGCAGAGTGTAGCAAAAGGTGATTAGGTTATTGGGGGCACTGCCCTCAGAAGAAAATAATGTAATTCTCTTAGGATGCCAATTAATTCCTATAAGAGTGTCATATTATAAAACGTTAAGACTGGTCCCTTCTCACTCTCTGGCTTCCTATCTCACTATGTGATCCCTCCCTTTCACACATGCTTCCACTGTAATGCCATCAGCCTTCAGTCCCTCAACAGAGACTGAACAAATGGGCCACACAATCTTAGACCTTCAGCCTCCACCACTATGAGCCAAATAAACCTTTTTTTTTCATTATATATCACCCATCCTCAGGCATTTTATTATAGCAATGGAAAATGGACTAAAATAATAAGTAATTATAAAATATGGTGAAACAAGTGATTTTCCAGTTCATATTCCATGGGACCAAGTATCTTTTTTCCTGTACCTCCAGTGGTAGTCTTAACAGTAGATGGGGCGAAAACATATTTAGCAGGATAGATAGGAGATATACACAGACACGGTAGTTTGTTTTATACTAATTAGAACTATTGCAATATGAGAATTAGAGTAGACACAGTAGTCAGAAGAATCACAAGTAAATATCTAATGATAACTCTAATATTGTAAGTACATGGTTTACTTACTTTCCATCTTTCGCTATTGATGTTTCTGTACTGTAATTTGTATTCTATTGTGCATTCCTTAAAATTTTCCAGAGCCAGTGGAGGTTGCCATTGTAAATAAAGATAACCTAAATATCCAGGATCCACTATCACAAAATCCTGAGGAGGATTAACTAAAATAAAATCAATAAAATATTTTAACTTTTTCTTTGTATTTTATGACAAAGATTAGTAAATACAGATTATCTCTAAATGTCCATCAATGATAAATAGATAGATAGACAAAATACAGTACATCTATGCAATGAGGATATTATTTAGCCACAAAAAGGAGTGAAGTACTAACATATGCTGCAACATGGAAGAATTTATATTTTGCTAAGCGAAAGAAGCCAGTCACAAAAGACCACATATTCTATAATTCTATTCATATAAAATATTTAGAATGGGAAAATCCATAGACATAGTAGATGAGTGGTTGTCAGAGGCTACAGGGAGCAGAGAACATAATTTGATAGTGGTAGTTATTTCATAACTTTGTGAATGTACTAAAAACTACTAAATAGTACTTTTGAAAAAGGTGAGTTTTATGTTATATAACTTATATCTCAATCTAGATTACTGCTACATCGTTGTTCTCTCTTTTAACAAATCACGTAAGTGCCAGGCGCAATGGCACATGATTGTAATCCCAGCGGCTTGGGAGACTGAGATGGGAGGTTCGTGAACTCAAAGCCAGCCTCAGCAAAAGCGAGGCTCTAAGCAACTCAGTGAGACCCTGTCTGTAAATTAAATACAAAATAGGGCTGGGGATGTGGCTCAGTGGTCAAGTGTCCCTAAATTCAATCCCCAGAACCCTCCCCCCTAAAAAAAAAAGAGAAATCACAAAAGCAAAATGTGACCTTGGTGGGTGGCATTAGTGGAATATTGATGGGCATAGCTGCTTTCCAAAATGTAACTTTGATTCTCTGGAAACTTTTTTTACAGAAATAAAAAATTCAACGTGGAGGGCTGGGGCTTCAGCTCAGTGGTAGAGCACCTGGTTTCCAGGTGTGAGGCCCATTTTATCTATCTATCTATCTATCTATCTATCTATCTATCTATCTATCTATTTATCTATTATTTTGTGCTGGGTATTGAACCCAGGGCCTTGTGCATGTGAGACAAGTACTCTGCCAACTGAGCTATATCCCCAGCTCATTTTTTATTTTGAGACAGGGCCTCACTAAATTGCCGAGGCTAGCTTTGAACTGGTAATCTTCCTGCCTCAGTCTCCCAAACTGCTAGGATTACAGGTATACACCACCATGCCTGGTTTATTTCTTATTTTCCTTAGGGCCTCACTAAGTTGCTGAGGGATTCCTGGAATTTGTAATCCTCTGGTTTTAGCCTCCTGAGTAGCTGGGATTACAACTATGGGCCACCACACCTGGCTTCCTGAAATAATTTTTAAGAACAATCCACCTACCAGTTATGCACTTCCATAAGGTAGACTGAAAAGAGTTAATATTTCTAATTTTAAAACTACTCCACTAACATCAATTTCACTTGTTGTTTTACCTTTTATTTCTGTGCTTGAAGAGAAAGTAGAGCTAAATTCTGTGCAAATTAAAAAGATAAATAGGCATCTGAGATCCAAACAAATGAAAGCCATTTCTCTAAGATTTAGTATCTTGAAATCTTCTCTCTAGGAAAGAAAATTACAAAACTGAAATATTTTACTCCAAATAACAAAGTGAATTAATGTGATGAACAATATTTTTGGGAACTCTCTGTGTGCTTTCTACCAAAAATTGGGAAATCTGCCCCACTTGAGCTATGGAAATAGAAATAATCAAGTCTGTCACAAGTGGAATCAGAATGGGAGAATTCTGGTCTCATCTTTCCAATAAGAGTAAAAACAAAGCAAAACAAACCCAAGAAGACCTTCAACCCCTCACCCATATACATTCACACTTTCTACATGCTTTGGACATTTTAAGATGACTTCAAATACCCTTCATCATGAAGGAGTCAGGCCCACCAGAGCATTTTTATTGGTGCATGGGGCGGGGGAGCAGTTACAACATTAGTCTCCATAGCAATCATCTGCCCAGCAACATAGAAAGCATACTGATACTCTTCTGAGAAAAAAACAAAAAAACAAAAAAACATTGGAAGCTGACTACTGAGAAAGCCTTAGATAATTTTGCTGTATTTCTTCATAACTATTACTTCTTCTCTCACACTTGTCCCACTTTTACCTTTGTCTCCTGGATCAGGAGATAGCATCACCATCCTCCCAGTTTTCTGAATCAGTAACTTGAAAGTCTCCCTCAAATCCTTGCACACCATTAGCACTATTACTTTCTCACTTGAGTATCTTATCATCAAAGATCTCCTTGTCCAGTCTTTCCTGCCTCCAGCCCCTTGTCCACACAACCTACAGAAAGGATGGGCTTTCTAAAGGGAAAATGTAAGCTTATTGCCTTTTTTTTTTTTTTTTTTTTGGCGCTGGGGATTGAACCCAGGGCCTTGAGCATGTTGGTATAACTCTACCAACTGAGTTATATCCACAGCCCTTATTACCTCTTTTTAGAAAGTATAACATTTCACTGCCACAGAATACAAGATAATCATTCTTTTATCCTTAGAGAATACTGTTTCTGTGATCAAAATGTAAAGGATTCATGCCTACAAATACTTACTTAATAAACTTGCCCAAGATTATATAGCAAATTAGTAATAGAGTTGGATGTACAACAGAGAGCCTATGATTACCAGCATGGTATACTTTCACCTTATTATGTTGGGCCCAAATGCTTGGCTCATTGTTATAAAAGCTTTCCTCTGGGACCACAGTGTTTAAGTCTTCCTTCAATTAGCTAATCAGACTGAAGCAACACTATGCTATTGCTTTTTTTTAATTCTAATAATTCTAATCCTCATAAAAGCACAAGAGGATTCCATTTTTCTTACTGAGAACAAATATTCCTCTCCTCATTTCCTCCTTCCCCATTCACTAGTCCCTAGCTGCCCACTAATTCATCTGTAAGTACTAGGTAGATTTGGTTACCAAAAGATTACAGCTCTTCCCCAGAGCTACTCCCAGAGATTAAGATGAACACATTGGTTTCTGTTGGGCTCAAGGCATTAAATTGGACAAAGAAATGTTTCCATGTCCTGTAAGGACTAATATAGTCAAGTTTCCCTTAAAATGCTATCAAAGAGAGCCTAACCAAGCTCTCTCTCCTCTCTCCAGCTGTTCTTAAAATTTTCATAGCTCTGCATAATGTACAGCATAAACGCTAAGTAGAGAGTTAAAAAGTCATTTGCTTCTGTTTTATAGAGGCTAGTGAAATTTGATTACGACTATTAAAAAGCATTTCCTGGATCGACTCAACACATTAAAGCATACGAAACAGAAAAGCTGGCTTCTGGAGTCCTTCATAGAAAGATCCACAAAAGGAGCTCCTGAGTTACATCTAGGGTCCAACCTAGACTTTCCCAAATGAGCTCATGTAAATTATATCATTGACTTCTGAGTTCTAGGGTTGTCACTAGTACAGTGAGGGACTTTATATATTGTATAGTTACCAGGAAAACTTGAATCTTCTCAGGGAGCAAGGGAGGTAGACCTGAAGACAAAGGGCAGATGGGGAAGGAAATGCAGACATCTGAGATTTGAAAAGTTTCTGGTATACTCCATACCTCCCTGTCCACACTTAAGAACCACTCATCTGGTATTAACTGTTTATTTTTTAAAATGAGGAAATAGAGTTGGGGTTGTGGCTCAGCGGTAGAGCGCTCGCCTAGCACGTGCAAGGCCCTGGGTTCGATCCTCAGCACCACATAAAAATAAATAAATAAAATAAAGGCATTGTGTCCAACTACAACTAAAAAATAAATATTAATTAGAAAATGAGGAAATAACAACCAGAGATGTCCAAACTCACATAACTTATGGTGCAGAGTTAGGACTGAAAACCAGGTCTCTTGAACCCTTTGCACTAAGAATAAATAAATTTTCTTGTCCTGAGTCTGTCCTAATTTACCAAAAGCATCCTTCATCCAACCTTCCTCAACCTGCTGTCACCACACAAACCATCAACCAGACCATCCAGATTTACTATCGTGACACTTCTGGCACAGGAATAATTCAATATATATGGATTGAATACTTTTTTTTGCCACATACTATTCCAGATAAATTTTGCATAAGGTACGAGATTGAATGGCAACAGTCAAAATATCTATAATAATAATAATACCTTCTGCCATTTATTCAGCATTCACAGCATCCCAAGAACTGTTCAATGCTAAGCACTAAACACATACTAACTCAGACAACACTATATAATGTTCAGCCAGCCTTGGACATTATGGCACAATTTTTAGTTTCATCTTAAAGACCAGGAATTGAGACATAGAGAAGGTAAACAACTTCTGTCAAGTCACACACACCATAAATGAGGAGGTTTGGATTTGAATCTAGACTAGTGCCAGAGCCCTTGATGGCCATCACTACACGGGGCTAAATATGAAGAGTAGACTTCTATTTTCAACATACTCAGTTTCACAAAACACTATTGCTGACAGCTTCCCAATGGCAATGTCCTTTGGAATGGCAAACCTAAAGCAATTTCCTCTTTTCAGCCTTGCTTTCCCACCTCTTCAAAGTCAATCTCCTCACAGAGGACTCAGCTGGGTCAGCGAGGTATAGCTCCATAGTAGAGTGTTTGCCTAGCACGTGACAGGCTCTGAGTTCCATTCCCAGCAGTACCCCCCCCAAAAAAAAAAAAATTGGCCAGATAATCCTTGCATTGTTGGAGAAACTCCAGGTACTTACCAATACTATGGTTTCTCAAGAACTGGATTATCATAAGCAGTTATCACAGGCTCTCCTTTTCTTTCCTCTCCACTTCAGAGATATTCATTAGAATCTCTACTATTTTTCTTCTTGTTTGATAACCAAGCACATTGAAAAAATTAGATAGGTGTTCCTGAAATAGCCAGAGGGCCAGAACATAGATACCACAAGTTACAAGATGAGGAGGTTATGGGTGGTGCTAAAAGCCATCTAAAGCAAATTTAGAATCACTGCAAGATGTTGCAAAAGTTGACAGGACTAATTATTCTTTGGATAAAGTAACAGATTTATGGCAGAGGAGCTTCTTATAATCAAAGGCACAGTGGTGCACACTGCCTCAGCTGCTATGCTTCGAAGCAAATTACATCTCAATTTGCATGTATAAAATGGAGGTAATGATACAAGCCTGGCATGGGGTGTCTTAAAGATTAAGTATGTGAAAGTGCTTTGAGAACAGTAGATTACTCTATATACTAAAGGGTTTGCTTCTGAGAACTTTGTCACTAAGTAAAACTTGAAAATAAGCTTCAACCTACATATTTGTTCCTAACAATTCAGGTTTTATATTCTACTGTTGACAACTAGGCACTTACAATTAATCTCCAATTTCTACCATCCTTGCTGACCTATTATTCTGCATTTATTAATCTTTATCTTTTTTTTTTAAGAGAGAGAGAGAGAGAGAGAGAGAGAGAGAGAGAGAGAGAACTTTTTAATATTTATTTTCTAGTTTTCGGCAGACACAACATCTTTGTTTGTATGTGGTGCTGAGGATCGAACCCGGGCCGCACACATGCCAGGCGAGCACGCTACCGCTTGAGCCACATCCCCAGCCCCAATCTTTATCTTAATAACAATAATTTCTTGCATTTGTTGAGCTTTGTATAATTTATAAAGAACTTGTTGAATTCTCTTAATAAATCTGAACATGCATATAATTGTTATTGAATATTTACAAAATGTAAAACTAGGTCTTAGAGAGATTATCTGACTAGTACAGGTTCTCACAGCTGATAAAATCCATATAAAAAGGAAAGGAAAGAGAAATAAGGCACAGAAAAATGTCCTAAGGGTAATAATGTATAATACACCTTTTTTTTTTTTTTTTTTTGGTATCGAGGATTGAACCCAGGAGTAATCTATAACTGAGCCACATGCCCAGACCTTTTTATTTTTTATTTTGAGACAGGATCTTGTGAAGTTGCTTAGGGCTTCACTAAGTTTGCTGAGGCTGGCTTTGAACTTGCGATCCTCCTACCTCAGCCTCTCACTACACTGGGATTACCGGCATGCCCCTCCATGCCTGGCAATATGCTTTTTTTTTTCCTTAAGAAAAATTTCTTCTTTATTGTCAAAAGAGAAGAAGAAGGAGGAGAAGGGGGAGGAGGAGAAGGAGAAAGAGAAGTTGTTTTCTCTGAAGTGTCTGAAATAATCATAGGCTTTTGAATTTATTCTATTTTAAAGGAAATGACTAAGTGGCAGAAATAAATAATTATTTATTAGAAAATGATGAATGAAATTTTGCAAAGTCACTAAAGTGATTTCTTTAAAAAGGTGGGGGGGACACATAAACCAGGAGCAATGGCATATACCTCCAGCCCCAACTTCTGGGGGGCTGAGGCAAAAGGATCACAAGTTTGAGGCCAGCCTGGGTAACTCAATGAGACCCTGTCTCAAAAATAAAAAGGTTGGAAATGTAAAACTCCCCTGAGTTCAGTGGTAAAACTCCCCTGAGTTCCATCCCCAGTACCACACACAAATGAATAAAAATAAAAATGACATGGGCATGATTTTCTATTACTTTTAAGTAATAAAAAAATAATCAGTGTTACAAAATTTGATACTTTCCATTCACACTTTTTAAAGTATCTAAAAATATCAGCTAAAACATTTAGAATAGGGATTGGGGAGAAAAGAAATTTGGATAATAGAGAAGGAGAACTTGAGGAGAGAGAAATGGAAAAGTACCATGATTACATATTTTGTTTTGTTTTGTTTTTTTGTACTAGAGATAGAACCCACCATTTCACATGTGCTAGGCAGGTGCTCTACCACTGACCTACATTCCAGCCCCTAGGATTGAATAGTTAACCGACATCTGCAGGTGAAATGATCAACCAATAGGTTCTCACATGAGAAAGCATTGACCAGGAGACCTGGGCTCTGGCATCAGCTTTGCCAGGTAACTTTGGAAAATTATAACAGGGATCATAGTTTATTTAGTTCTTATTAAATGTCCACCTCTGCATCAGGTGCTTGATATGGATTAGCTCATTTGAGTCTCCCAAACATTGATATTATTATCTTAATATTACAATTTTACAAATGAGGCATTTGAGGCTCAGAAAATGTAAGTAAACTTCTCAAGTTCATAAAACTTAATCAAGAAAAGATGTCTCTATCTGATTTTAAAGACCATGCTCCTTTAACATATAATACTGTCTTTCAAATAGTCTCATTCTGAGATGATCAATTTTCTCTCATATAAGTTATCCCTGGGATAACATTCTCAATTTCATCAGCTAATCTGCTGTGTATCCAATTACCATTTCAGGATGTGACTCAAGAGCACTGGCTTCCTGGATAACAAATCTTGCTTCAAGGAGACTATCCAACACATTTAATGTCTAATCATAGCTTCTGGAGTATGGCCATGACTCAACCTCATAATCAAAGAATCTGGAACCTGCCAGGCCTTGAGATCTAACAACATGCTGAGATCGATAGATACATGGCGATCATCAGCCTATGACCTAGTGATGAGTCAAACCTAATTTCATTTTTAAAATAACATATCCTGCAGTGTAGAAGCTTATAAAGAATGCTGATGATGATTTTATGTACATTCAAACACAGAAGGCATTAAAACAGATTTATCATGTTTGCCATTAGTCAAGCAGTATAAGTAATTTCCTACAAAAGACACAAGGCATTTAAGCACATGCAGAAAGGTAAAGTTAAGTGTAGACAAATGAAATACATATAGGGTTTATTTTTAACAAATATCATTTAATATCCAGTTTTACATAGCATGATTATATTTGTATCCCCTCTAAGATTGTATACTAACATTGATATATGTTGATATTTATTGAATATGTTCAATAAATCTTGGCAAAACATAATTAGTCATTCTACTCCATAATTATTTAGATGCTTTCCAGTATGATATCCTGAAATCATCCAGCTAACAAGTTTCCTGAAGTGCTGTCAAAGCTAGAGAATTCAGTTTTGTGCTACCATGGCAACATCCAAGTTTACAATGTTAATTCATGAAGCATTCTACACAGTTCAGAATTTGTTCTTATTCCAAGAAGGTCAGAGATTTGTTATTTTATAATCCCACCCAACAAATCACCAACAAGCCTTTAAAAAAACAGTGCATTAAAATAAATTTTTATGACCCTGAGGGGGAAAAAAAACTATAGGTCATCACTTAGTAAATATTCCTTAAAACAAGTCAAATTCTTATTATTAATATACCTTACTTTCTATCCAAATGAAGTCCCAGCTGAAGACCAATGCACTCACTGTCCTGCATTGCTGCTCTGGAATTAGCAAAACAATCTCTCTTGTTTCAACAATCCTCTACACTCCCAGATGCTCCCAAATACTTGCTTGCAAATAGACAGCATGTACTGTACCCAAAACATCCACGTCATGTAATTTCTTCAAAAGTAAGTAGTAGGATGTGCTCCACCCTCTTAACACTCAGTAAAAACAGAATATGAAATGTGCAATAGCAGGTTTTATAATCTTTTGAGATTATTCTACAAATGTGCTATTTTATGTGCATAAAGTATAGATTATAAGAACATGGAAATGTGGTATTATATTACATATAGGACCTTCAGTTAATAAAAACAAATATTTCTATCATTATTCAAAAATTGTTTTGAGGACACTACTATATACCAAGCCCTGTCATAGGTCCTGGGCCTACAGCAGTGAACAAAACAGAGTACCTACCCTCATTTCTGGTGAGGGAGACAGACAATAAACATATTAGATAAGTTGTGTAAAGGTAAATAAGAGGATAACAAGGAAGAGGGTGATGGAGGTTAATTTTAGAAAGGCTGGGTAGGGAATGCCTCTCTGTGAGAGTGACATGAAAGACCTCAATGAGGGAATGGATCAGGGAAAGAATCTTCCAGGTAGAAGAAAAAGCACACTTTTAAATCCTAAAGCAGAAATCATTTTAGTAGTTCCTGGAATAGCAAGACCAGTATGATAGGAAATAGGAAAGGTTAGAAGATAATTTCACAAGTATAGGCAGAGAGTAGGCTGTGGTAATGAATTTACCATCTATTCTTAGTGAAATGGGAAGTGATTTAGACAGTTGTGAGCAGAGTGATATGATGAAAATTGCATTTTAAAAACTATTGTATGTATTTAAAAAATAAAAGCAATTAAAAAAAACTATCATATGGATGGAAGAAAAAAATAGAATAACCCAGACTAGAGCAAACAGTGACTCAGACCAGGATGATAGCAGCGAAGATGCTCATAGAATTTACTGGTGAATTGAGTGTGGAGTATCACAAAATGATGCCTCTATTTTTGCCATGGGCAATGAGATAATTGTTTAAGGGGTCTAGGGATGATAGTTAAGAGTTAAGTTTTGGATGGTTAAATTTGAGCTGCTTAACTAATATCCAAGAGAAGATAAGTAGGCAATTGGATACTTGACTCCAGAGATTGGGGAAAAGATCAGAGATATAGATATAATCTGGGGAGTCATCAGCAGAAAGACAGTATTTAAAAACCATAGAATCAACTGAAGTCATCTATGGTATAGTGTAGATGAGATAACGAAAAGAGGGCCATAGACTAGTGTCCTCAAATATCCAGAGGCTAAATAGATAAGGAGGTGCGAGGAAGGGAGACCAAGAAGAGGCCAAAGAAGTAAGAGGAAATTTCAGAGTTTGAGGTATCTCAGAAAACAAGTGGGGGAAGTTTCAAGTATAGAGTAATAGACAATGTCAAAAGCTGTTGATAGGTAAAATATGATGAGGCCTGAGAATGGCCTATGGTGCTTAGCAAAATATAGATAATTGGTGACATTAGTAAGGGAATCCATTCAGTGGATATCAGGGGTTAAACTAAGAGTCAAGTGAGTTCAAGAAAGAATGGATGGGGACTGGGGTTGTGTCTCAGTGGTAGAGCGCTTACCTAGAATGTGTGAGGCACTGGGTTTGAGATTCTCAGCACCACATATAAATGAATAAATGAATGAATGAATAAAATGTATTACATTCATCTACAAGTAAATATATATATATTTAAAAACAAGAATGGAGGTTGGGCACCATGGCGCATGCCTGTAATCCCAGTGGTTCAGGAGGTTAATGAAGAAGGATCGCAAGTTCAAAGCCAGTTTCAGCAAAGGCAAGGTACTAAGCAGCTCAGTGAGACCCTGTCTCTAAATAAAATATAGAACTGGGGATGTGGCTCTGTGGTCAAGTGTCCCTGAATTCAATCCCCAGGACCACTCCACCAAAAAAAAAAAAAAAAAAAAAAAAAAGAATGAAGAGGTAAAAACTGAAGAGAGTGAATATACATAACCATTAGAGGAAAAAAAAAGCCAAAACATGTTTCCTATTTCCACACAGTCAGTACAATACATATTACTTCATCTCTGGTCATCAAAACGTGTGGGAACCACTCAGTTCTCCAGCAGATACCAGCTAGGTATCTTGAATCTAATTAACTTTGGCATTACCAACCTAAAGATAGCACTGAAGATAGCATCAGATGCTACAGGTTGAGGGCTCAGTCCCCAAGACTGCCCCTCCACTTTACATGCCAATCACAAGCCCCTGGTAATGACCTGTGTAGGACAGAACTGCTATAAATCAGTGTTGCCACAATCCCCTCCTTGAGTTTGATTCATTTTTTAGAATGGCTCACAGAACTCAGGGAAACACTTTACTTTCCTTAATTTAATGTAAATGATATTACAAAGAATACAAACAAATAGCCAGATGGAAAAGACAAGCGAGCGAGGCATGTGAGAAGAAGAGCTGAGTTTCCATGCCCTCTCCAGGCAGTTACGTCTGTTCAGCTATCCAGAAGCTCCTAAACCCAGACCTTTGGATTTTATGGAGGCTTTAATAAGAAGGCAAGGTTGATTAAATCATTGGCCATTGGTAATCGACTCAATCTTAGCTTCTTTCCCCTCCCTGGAGGTGGGGCATTGTGGGAGAAAGGCTGGAAGTTCCAAATTTCTAAACATATATTTGATTTCTATAGCAAATTTGGTTCCTATAGCCCCCACCCTGAGGCTAATTAGAAGCCCCCAATCATCAGTAGCCATACCATTAACATAGATACTTATTGTTCAAGAGATTCGAAGGGTCTTAGGAGCTATGTGCCAGGAAACTGGACAAAGGTCAAACTTACAAATAAAAATCTTATAAATCACAATATCACAGTTCACCCCTATCTTTGTTTTTTTGTTTTTTAGTACCGGGGATTGAACCCAGGGATGCTTCACTGCTGAGATACATTCCCCATGCCTTTTTAATTGTGTTTTGTTTTGTTTTTAAACAGGGTCTTGCTAAGTTGCTTAGGATCTCGCTAAGTTTCTGGGGCTGGCCTCAAACTTGCCATCCTCCTGCCTCAGCCTCTTGAGTTGTTGGGATCACAGGCATTAGTCACCAATTTTTGAACACAGATATCTTACATCAAAATGATTGTACCCCTGAGTTCAATCCCTGATAGATAGCAAAAAAAAAAAAAAAAAAAAAAGATTACATAAATCAACAGATACTGGCACATTACTATAATCCCAACTCAGTCATTAATAGAGTTCAGTCCAAAATCACATCATATGAAAATGTCTCCCAGGGGAGGGCATTCGGGTTTGCAGGCTTCCAAACCATACTCTATCTCCCTTGAGAAATTTTCTATGAAGAGACATAAGGAGCTGTAGCTTGGGAAAAAAAAGAATCTCTGGGTTCTTCCCTCTTTAATGAAGGAATGATATGCTAGGGAGGTAGCTCAGTGGTAGAGCAATTTTCCTGCAGGTACAAGAACCTGGGTTTCATCCCCTGCACCACAAAATATATATGTCTATATGGACAATGTTTCACACGAAGGCCCAATTCTGCCCATACTTGGATTGTTGCCATTCCTCTTTAATTTGAGGGAAACATGTCAGAGTACTTTATAAAAAGAGTATCATGCCAAGGAAAGCATTTGTCTGGGGAAATTAGAAACTACCAAAGTTTACTTTCACCAATAATTATTTAAATAAATACTTCCCATCTGTTCAAATTGTTTTGCAAAGCTATCTCCAACTTCTTGCATTTCTAACAAAATATTACTTTTGAAACCCTGTCATTTCTCCAGACTCTACCATTCCTTTCTCCTTATAATATGAAGTTTCACTTCTTCTTTTTTTTTTTTCCTAAATTTGTATTTTGCAGCAAAAGTCATCAGAAACAACTTTAACTCTATTCTGAGAAATTCTGGGTCTAGTTCTGATTTCAAAATGTAGGATAGGAACATATAACCTTTATTGTATTTTTAAAAGTTTGAGGGATCAAACAATATGTCTGAACATACCCCTAAAGAGTTTCAGTAAGTGCTTCTCTGCAGGCAAGATTTTTTTTATTTTGGTTTAGAGAGGCAGGCTGTTTGGAATGGAGACCATGGAGAGTAGCATGATTTCAGTATCTTGCTCTTTGCTTCTCCTTTCTGCCCCTCTTTTTCCAGGCCTATTTCTCATCTTTTCTTCTTTCTAATTTCTTTTTGCATTTTCTCTCTCTTTTCCTTAAGAAATTAACCTATTCTTCTCTTTTCTACTATGTAGAAATTAATATATTTTGGATTACTAGCTGTTCTTATTTTTTTAAATACCAAGGCAATTTCTCTTCTCAAAATGTTTTTCATTTTTTTCTTGGTTTTCCAACAATATTTTCCATACATCCTTTGAAGACTCAACCCATCATTTTTTTTTTTTTTTTTTTGCAGGGGGTGAGGGTGTACTGGACATTGAACTCAGGGGCACTTGACCACCAAGCCACATCCTCAGCCCTTTTCATATTTTATTTAGAGATAGGGTCTCACTGAGTTGCTTAGCACCTCACTTTTACTGAGGCTGGCTTTGAACTCATGATCTTCCTGCCTCAGCCTCCAGAGCTGTTGGGATTACAGATGTGTGCCACCACGCCCAGGCTCATAAGCTTACTTTCTTAAAGTGTTTATGAAAAAGTTCTTTTCTATTCATATGTGGGCAGAGCTTCACTGTTTTTCAGCAGACTTATCATCTGTCATAGAAATAGATTTCCTGCTTGGAGAGGCTTGATGCTTTATAACTTCTTAAAACGTCAACCCACTTTCTCACTGGTTTTGTTTAAAAAAAAATTAATTGCAGTTGGTACAATAACTTTATTTATTTATTTTTATGTGGTGCTGAGGATTGAACCCAGCACCTCACATGTGCAAGGTAATTGCTCTACCTCTGAGCTACAGCCCCAGCTCTTTTCTCACTGGTTTTGATAGCTGTTTTTGAGTCTAGTCAGACAATGCTTCCTAAAGTGACTTTAGAGTCTTAGCAAAATGGAGCCTCAGAGTCTATTTTTATAATCTAGGCCTAACCTTTGCTTACTGTATTAGTG